TTTGAACGAGATGGTTGGAAACTTATCAGAGCTGTAGACACGCTTATAGGAACAAAAAAGTCAAAGAAACCAACAGTCTTCATGTGACCCTTCATAAGATATACTCCCCAAAATCAGTCTTCTTGTTAAACATGCAAAAAACTTAATGGGGAATGCAGTGTGACTCCAAATGCATCAGGAAATAGTTGATACAATGACCTTTCTCATGTTTTATGAGTTTTTAGCTGTCTCTAGTAAAGTGGAAAACCAGGGGCGGACTAGCCCTAAAATTTTCGTGTGGAAAATTTATTACCAGCCCAGCCCACAAATAAAAAAAAAATGTATTTTTTTCTATTTATATTTAAATATATTCAAAATACAACATTGACAAAAATTACAATAAGCACAAGTCTATATTCTACAATATTAATTTTTTATTTAGAAGTTTGCTTTGTTGAGCAATAATATTAATGACATCATCAGAATGTATTTCGTTTAAAAAATCCTTCTCCACTGACATTAACACGAAGGCTTCTAGATTTTCTTGCGAGATACTTATAAGTATCTTAGCCTGCTTTTAATTAATTTTAACATAGAAAAGCTTTGTTCACCGGACACTTGTGTTACAGACATAGATAGCAGATATTTGTATGCTTGACCAAGTATAGAATAAGCGCCACTTAACATGTTATATCTGAATAATATATTATAACAACAAATAGAGCAATTTTTGCAAGCAATGCAGTAAGAGGATAAAATCGCATCTTTATTAGTTTCTACTTGATCATCAGTAGAATGTTCATTTTCGTTTAATTTTATAAAAGTTTCATTGACATTTTCCTTTAAAATATTCCATGACGATTTAAAATGTTGCAATTCTGAAATAATATTGTGTTGAGTAGCTACTGGATTAAACTGTATTAAAATACTGCTTAATTTTTGAAATGCGTTTTCAGGAATATTTAGTGACGGTCCCGTAAATTTTGGTCTAATGTGCTTTGAACTCGCTGTAAGATGACAGTCGAACTCTCCCCGGTTGCTCTCTCTCCCACTTTCCCTGATCTAGATCGAAGACGTGTGAATTTGGTCCGGGAATGCGACAATTAAATCGTCTTACACTCGTTCTTGTTTACGAAATAAATCACCGATTTATTAGCTTTAGCTCGACAACCAGTTTCCTGTTGGAGAGGGGGTGAGGTCCCGGCCTCACACTACAAAATATATTATTTTTAATTAAATCGTTTGGAATATAGAGAAATTATTATTGAATAACATTTTTTACTTACCTAAAATAAAGAAAATAATATAAGTGGCCATTAAATTTGTCATGACTACAATCATCGCTTTGCTGGCTAGGTACAAAACTAATAACTCGCATTTCTATAGTTTAGCATTAAGATTCATAGGAGTTGTATATAGTTTCTAGCAATGTAAACAAATGACCAATTTTCTCTGTTTAGAAGGTAGTTTTGATTAGTTTTCTCCTAGAATGCTTTCTGTTTGGGCTAATGTAGTGGTGTTTGACTCAGATCGGCCGAACTAATTTAACTTCGGATACGGGTAGGGCCGGGTAAAATGATAAAGGCCTACACATATACCTATATTATACACCTTACTTAACAAAAAAATATATGAATTTTTTAAAATTAAACGGTACATTATGTACATATTTAGAAAAATGGCCTAAATTGTATACGGCCCATGTGGAATTTTCCACATTTTCCACATGGCCAGTCCGCCATTGTGGAAAACAGTTGATTTTTAGTATTGTTTTGAAAAATAGTTCTGGGTTTTTCATTTTTAAATTTTACCTAATTTTTCAGGATCTTCAAAACTCCAGATGGACTGATTTCAGACTGCTATATCTCGCAGAGTCACATGTGGTTCCTTTGACTTTTTTATCCTATGAATAAGGTCTCAACTGCCTCATTCATAGCTGCATTTTTACAGGTTCCTGATAGAGATACAATTTCATCCTTAAGTATTTAAATATGATTTCCTTTTTTTTCTTAGATATAATTATTTTTAAAATTCTGTATTCTTAACAAAATACATGCATTCCAAAATGACAAAGCAATTTAGATTAAAAAGAAAAAAAAACTTGAAATTTTTCTCAGAATACTGAAAATTTTCCACGTAAAACTGTCGAAAAGATACGATACTAAATTTTGGATAATTTAATTTTAAATTTTACACTAGATTCATTATAAACTTAATAATAAGGTGACCAACTTTTTTACAATGAAAAGGAGGACACAAATAAATCGAAGGAAAAAATTTCATAAATAAAAGAAATATTTTATTCATTGCAATAATAATACACTATAATAATCTCTACTGCACACGTCACGTTTTGTAAGAAGTAAACAAAGCAACTGGCACGCAGGGTTGTTCCAAGCCTTTTTATAAAAGGTACTAAAAAGAGAAATAGATAACAAAAAATGGTACTAAGTTTTCTCTAAAATATCTATTAGTAATGTGCAATAGTATTTTTAAAAAAATCAATATTAATATCGATAATATGACATAAGTATAATATGTGCAGAATCAATACATTAAGTCAAAATGATCTATTGACTCATGCAGGCATTACTTTGACCATAAACTGCTAAATTTATGTATATATTATATATTATTTAAATATANATGCTTTAATTTTTTAAAAACAACAATTCATCAATTACAAATTCGGCTACCAAATTCAATACAGTGGTCAAATCTAGTGGAAAGTGTGCGACCTGCAAAACTTTTACAGATTTACGAAATTGAATCAATCATAAAAAACATTTCCAAAATACCGAAATCCATATGCGATTTTAACAGCGTGGAATTAGAGAAGATGATACGCTGTGTCCAAAACATTCCAGGAATTACTCCAGACACAACGGGAGAACATTTTTGGAAAACAGTTATTGAATATAAGGATACTGCAGGTAATAATCCTGCAACACGACTTGCTGAAGCAGCGTTGAATATACTTACACTACCGATATCAAATGCTTCAGTAGAAAGAGCTTTTTCTGCTGTTAATTATTTAAAAAGTGACACAAGGAACAGAATGGGGTTGCAACTTTTACGTGCACTCCTTCACATTCGATTTTATTTACTTTCCAGAGACATACGTGTGAGTGAATGCAAATTACCTGAAGAATTACTTAAAAGTATTAATAGTTCTATGTATGATTAAGGCATATTATAAATTATAACAACAATTATGTAGGTTATAAAAATATAATCTGTATATTTATTGTGTTGCATTTATTCCATTAGTTTTTAAGCCTGAATAAATAGAATACTTACAAACCGATGTTAATGTTTTAAATTTTAAATACTGCACCTATTGAATCTAATGCTTTATACATGTTGACTGTGGCATTTAGCTCGAGAGCAGGGTTGTTCCAAGCCTTTCTAAAAGGGTACTAAAAAGAGTATTAGATAACAAAAAATGGTATTAAGTTTTCTTTAAAAAATCGACTAGTGACGTGAGATAGTATTTTTTTAAATCGATATTAATATCGATAATACGACATACGTACAGTACTTTCAGAATCAATACATTATGTCAAAATGATCTATTCACTAATGCAGGCATTACTTTGACCGTAAACTGCTGAATGTATGTATATATTATATATTATTTAAATATATATTTATAAATAATAAATTTATAATTTTTGAAATTTCTATTTATTAAAATGTTACACGTAACACGTAATATACAAAATTCATATATTACTATGTAGAGACTGGAGGTGGAGACTACACTCCACAGTGGAGTGCGATCCAAAACATTACACTAATATCGACGTTCAGTGTTCACCGACCGCATCGGTGTTCGTACGCCTCTAGTGATCACTTTGAGCACTGCCAATTGTTTAGCATTGGAACTGTTAGAGGTTAGATCCTAAAATATCTATTTACTGCCAAAGTAAAGTAAAAAAAATATACAATAAAAATGAACTTTTTGAAAGGTACAAAATGGAAAGGAAAGGTATTAGGATTTCACAAATGGTACTAGGAAAACGGCATTGGGTATCTCAGTAGCGGAACAAGTAAAAAGTTAGTATAAAAGTACTAGGTGGAACAACACCGCCGGCGCGCCATCTCGAGGTCTCGCCATCGCATCCGACCGCACCGAGCCCGGACGAATAGTCACGTCAAACACAAACGCATCACGTCCCATCACGCGCGACAGACGGGCTCGGCATCGTCCGAATACCGAGATTTACAGATCGGTCTTTAAATATCGAAAAGGAGGACACTTTTCGAGGGAGACCAGAATTTACAAAAGGAGGACGATCGGTCACCTTATTAATAATCAGTTATAACAAGAGACGTGGAAAGAGAGAGAAATAGGGATTTTTATCAGGTTTGGAAAAAACTTAGGAATCCATAGTGATTACAACTATAAATTAATTATAGTTTTATCATCAAAAAATAAAACTATTAATAAAGAAACATTCAACATATTTCATAAATAAATAAATAGCAAAAGGTCCCATACAAGCTCTCAATGGCCCCGATCATACATAACACACGATAATTAATACTTTAAGTATAAGAAATGCAAACAGAATATTAACAAATATATACATTAGGTAGCAATTCGCTTGTAAATTATTAAATGGCATTTGATAATCCATAGAAAATAACCAATAATCTTCATTAATAAACATTTAACCATTGACACACTTTAACTCAGAAATGTAAATTTAAGAAAAATTCTGATTTATTTTTCTACGAGAAAATCATTGGTTTGACAGCAAAAATTAAAAGATAAAGACGAACTGCGTTTTCTCCAATAACTATTCTACTATAAGAAAAATCGATGCTATTACGAAATAACTAAAAATTTCATTGGCTGCCGTAGCGATTCTGTCAATATTCAGACCAATCGTATTTGCGTTTATAAACAAAGTTGTGATTAAATTGCGTTTAACGTTCTAACTTAATTACGCATTTACCGTCATTTTATTTTTAAATTTCTAACGGCGTATTTGAATGAGATACTTTAAATTTACCTAATAACTTGAAAAAATCCAATATTGAGTATAAACTTGTCGAAATGGAAAAGATTCGTTAATAAATAAGAATTCGTCCTAAACAGTCGGCCATCTTACTTATTAAAATCTCGCAGCAAAATCCAGAAATTAATAATTTTGTCATGGCATAAAACGTTGTTAATATTAATTCTACAATCGATTAAAATAACTTGATATAAAAAAAAGAACAGATTCCAATCAAATACTAACGTGTATGTTTATCTACGAGAGACCACATTTTATCGAATACAATTCCGCCATTTGCCGTCGCTGCGATGTTTACTTTTTTAATTTCTCACACAAACGTAATCAAACGTGTAATTTTGTAACGCGAAAATATCATTTATTTGCTATAATTTACTGGCTTTTAGAGATTATAAACAATATTTACTTAAAAAAAACGCTTAATCTGAAAATTTATATTTTAGTAAGCTTATCAGTTAGACGAGATAACTGTATCGCTCTATATATTTTTTAACGACTTTTTTCGGTTATTGATGACATCCTTATTTTAGATAAACTCTTTTTTTATTCAGAAATACCTCCGAGTGATGTTTTAATATATAATAATTGATAACAAAGATGTTTTTAAACAGTAATGAAGTAGCAAAAAAAATACATTTTAAGTAACTTTTCGTGTATAGAATCATATCTTATTTGTATATTTACGGACTATCAACTAACCTTTTTTAAAGGACAAATTTTTCTGTTAAGTGATTAATTATTCAGAAACTATATAAAGATTAAAATTATTCTTAGAAAAATTAACAAGTTTTTATCGAAACAATTTACAGTTTGATCATTGTTTAAACAACCGCATTCTTTTTGTAATGTAAAAATTCCTTATTTTATTCTTTGCTTCTGAAAAGCTTCGAGTTGAAAGACAAACATTAAACCGAAAGGTTTTGTGCAAACAATTCTGTTCAAAAGGCGAAAACATAAAACCTTTAGAATGTTCTCGTATAATTAGACTTTTTGGGTCAGGAACGCGTAAAAAAGGGGAAAAAAGAAAAACTATTTTATTCAAGAATTAATTTGCTTTCCGGATGATCAGTAGAATTATTTAAATTGCGAACTCTGCGTTACTCGTACAAGAGAATAGACCATAGAATAAAAACTATTGCAACAGATTAAATTTAAGTTTGTATGACAAATTATTAAAGCAAAAAGAAAAAAAAATCGTGAAAAAAGAGAACATTTTTAACGTATTTTCTTCTTCTTCTTTTTTTTTAAATATATGTTTTTCGAAATATTTTTAAAAATATATTTTAAATTTAACCAGATTAAATATTTGATATATTATCGGATTTTTAAAATTTAATTTATCATAAAATTAAATGAGGGAATCCTTTAGATATGTTCCCTCCTGTATTTGTAATTTTACTGAGAACTATTAAAAACTAAATCCGCTACGATTCGCATAGAATATATTTGAAGACGGAAAGAATAAAATAAAATAAAATAAAAGTTTGCTTACAGGTTTCAATCTCATATAGAGTGAAAATTGTGACCAAATCTTCGATCCTTTACACTAGAATATTTGATTTTTTGGTGCATGAAAATTTAAAAAAGAAATAAAAAAAAACC